GAGTAGACTTGTTCGTAATAGTATTGTCTATGAGTTGTTGGAATTGATGGTTGATCGTGTACGTTCACTCTCTTGTTACGAAGAGTAATTGAGAGTGAGCCTCTGGACGAGAAACGATTCAAATCCCTTAACCGAGCAATTGATTGCCGGTAGTTGTGTTAGAACCGAAAGCAATTATCCCCGATTCCCTAGCTCTTTAATCATTTGAGTTTATTCACTTGCTATTTAATTTGTTTGCATTAGTTTCAAATCTTTAGATGATAATTAAAACCCCAAAAATTATTGAATAGAGTGTTTAGGAATTTTTCTTTTCTTTCTCGTGGCCGAATAATCGTACAATTGAATCCGGCTAACCTTCCTTGCGATACGACCCGTGGAACGAATCTTTCGATTCTACTCCGGTAAAAATACTCACAACAAAATTGGCGCCGTTGCCGGGGAAGGTTTAGGACTTTAATTGTGCGCCTATTCGTTTATTTTTCATTTTGCTCTTGTTTTCTTTTTATTTGTTAGGTGTTAGTTCTTTGTTTTCTTTTGATTTCATTTTATTTTCTTTTGTTTATCTGGTGCTCGTGACGGTTCCTTGTCTTTGTGTATGCGTACCAGGAGTGGACGCAAACTGCTATCTCCGATCAACAAATCTGTCAACGAGAGCCTGAGGGAGCTGCTGGAAGAGCTGACTCTGGAATCGCACGGGAAAGACGAACATTCTCCAAAATCATCCTAAGGCAGCAACCTAGAGATGGGTGAACGACAACAACAAGCTCCCCGTAACACCCTCCGAACCTTGGCCCAGCCGGTTATCAGGCCAGTCACTTCATGCATTCGCTTGCCGGACGCTGCACGAAACTACGAGCTCAAAATGATTCACTACAACCAGCTGCCGGCATTCCACGGGCTTCCAAGCGAGGACCCACTCAACTTCATCCGAGAATTTTACAATGTCCTCAACACTTTCCCTCTCAATGACCTTGATGACGAGCAGTTGAAGCTGAGGTGCTTTCCCGAGACTCTGAAGGACCGGGCCAAGGCCTGGTTCATGACACTTGCACCCGGCTCTCTCACTACATGGACCGAGGTGTACTCAAAGTTCATTGGGAGGTATTACTCTCATCAGAAGACTCAGGAGCTCCGGTCGCAGATCGTCTCGTTTGCTCAATTACCGAATGAGTCTCTTCATGAGGCTTGGGAGCGGTTCAAGGATCTCCAACGGCAGTGCCCCCATCACAACCTCTCTCCGGGGCTACTCATGAACTGCTTCTATGATTCCCTCCACCAGAACTTGCAGTATATGGTCGACAACGCGGCAGGAGGTGATATCGGAGCAAAGACAACCGAGGAGATGTTTGAGATTTTTGAGACGATGAGTACGAACTCGTCACAGAAGAGCACTCGAGGTAAGAGAGCAGTAGTGAACGAGGTCGGTACAAGCAATGATATGGTGGCCCAACAGCTAGCTGAGCTTACTGAGCAGATGAGGTTGCTTACCGCACGAGGATCTCAGCCGGTTAATACATTTGCTGTTGATACATGTGGGGCGTGTGGAGTCCCAGGGCATAGATTCGAAGTGTGCCCCTCATCATTCGAGCAGGATTCGGGAGAACAATATGCAGATGCCAGTGCCTTACAGGGATACCAGAACCGGCCAGTCAATGACCCATATTCAAACACGTATAATCCCGGATGGCGGAACCACCCACACTTCTCGTGGTCAAACAACTCAAACACCCTTCAGCCACCCCGTCCGAACTTCATGCAGCAACAACCTCGACCCAACTTTGTGCCCCGGCCGAACTACCAGCCACAACAGCCACAACAACAGCAGAGGGGACCAGAAGCGGGGTCGAGTTCGAACCTCCAAGACGACATTGCCAAAATCCTTCAATTTATGGCTAGCAGTGAGCAACGAAGTGTCAATCAGGAGGCCTCCATCAAGCGTATTGAGACGCAGTTAGGCCAACTAGCCACACGGGTCGGAGTCCTCGAGACTGAAATGAACAAGGGGAAGTTGCCCAGTCAGTCAGAGCATGTGAATTCAGTGACCGTTATTATGCCCGACTTGGAGGAGACGATGGTAGACGAGGGAGAACAAGAGGCAGAAGAATATCCAAGGAAGTTAGGGCAAATAGAAAAGGGCCCAGCGACACCATCTTCCATGCCAACTTTGCATAAGTCCCCAAGTCCATACAGACCAAGGTTTCTTCACCCATGCCGACTATCGGAAGAGAAGGACAATCAGCTGATGCGGGACCTATACATGATGTTGAGAAAGGTAAATGACGATGTATCACCTTCTGATGTGTACAGGATGATACCGGCCTACGCAAGGCATTTCAAGGAATTGGCCAAGAATAAGAAGTGGTTAGTGAGTGCAGGTGAGGTGGTGGTATGCGAGGCGGCAAGTATCTTACATAGCTACTTGCCAAGGAAAGAGAGGGATCCCGGGGGCTTTGTAATCAACATAGCTTTTGAAAATGAGAGAGAGACCTCGGGGATGCTCGATCTTGGAGCATGAATCAACCTCATGCCGCTCGCAGTCTATCGGCAGCTTGGGCTTGGTGATTTAAAGCCTACTCGAATGCGCCTACAGTTAGCCGACCGCTCGATACGTCAACCCGAGGGTATCGTGGAAGATGTGTTGGTTCGAGTGGGGAAGCTGATAGTCCCCGTGGACTTTGTTGTGCTAGACATGGGGGATGTGTTAGAAGACGGGAGGCAATACACCATTCTTCTCGGGCGACCCTTTATGGCGACCTCCAGCACTGTTATTGATGTGAAGAAAGGGATCGCGAGCATGACCGTGTTGGGGGAGTCCATCTTCATTTCCGACCGAAGGACTCGGCCTGAGCCGCAGGTGATGATTGAAGAAGAGGGTGCACTTCTTCGAAAGATGGACCAACTTACTGAGGAAGCGTGTAAGCGAGGATTCACGCAGAGGCCACTGCAGGGCCATGTCCATAACAACCGCCACATTGCCACCCCTCAGCTAGTTTTGATGGAGCTGCCCGGTCCCTCTGGGGCGAAAGATATGATGTGTCAGACGCCCGTTGCTGTTCGGGGCCTGACTATCTCAACCCTCCGCGTGCACCACCGAACTCACAGTGACTAGTCTAGTCACTGTGCTCTGTACGATTGTATCTCTCCCTTTTTCTTTTTCTTTTTGCATTTTGCTCTATTTCTTTGCTTTTCTTTCGGGTAATTATCAGGTAATTAAGTTTGCATTTTGTTTTTTTTTTTATTTTATTCCAGTTTTATATTAAAAAAAAAATTGCGAGTTTTCTCGTCCAAATATGGCATAGTTCTCTGTTACTCTCGCGCCTCGCGAGTATTTGTCGCGACTCGCGACTTGCAAAGTCGCGACTCGCGAGATTGTCGCGAGTCGCGAATAACCCCACGT